ACAGATCTCGGATTGAGCACTCGAGTAAGGTAAAACAAGAAACCAAAAGGTGAGCTCCCGACGACGAGGTCGCTTGACTTTATACCCTCGTCGTCGTCAGATGGAGCATGTGGTAGTAGAATGATAATCAAAAGGGAACGGCGCGCCAGCGCCGGCTTGCTCGAAAAGGAAATATAGTCTCGGTCCGACCTCCGGGAGAACCGGCACGTTACATCCGCCCTCCCAAAGTGGGAACCGCTTTGACCAAAAAGGAAAAATCCCGACGCTCCTTCACCGCGCCTCGCGCTCCTTCATCTTGCGCTTCTCATTACGCTTCTCCTCGCCGATCATGACACCCCTCGCAGTCTTCAGCAGGGCATAAGCGATGACCTTGCTATTCGCTCCACCGAGCCCGAGTAGATCCTCCACTCCGCCCGCTAGAGTCCCTCCTCCCGCCGATGATCCCGCGGTGCCAGCCCTGACCGCCTTCTCCTCACCCACGGGCGCCTTCTTCGGCCCCTCAGCCTCCGATGCCACCATGGGGGCTTTAGTCTTCTTCTTCTTCTTTTTCCTGCTGCCCTCGCCGGTGCCTTCGTCAGCCGGCCTCTTATCTGCTCCTGCCTTTGGTTTATCGACGGTCCCCCCACCGCCCGTCGCTCCCAGGTCACGGCGCCGAGTCTCGATAGCGTCGAGGACCTTCTGCGGGAATAGGATCGACCGCGGCGATGGTCCATCGCATTCTAGACTAAAACCTTGGTCTTGACGAATGTCCTCGTCGACCAGGCACAACGACGCGGTCTTCGGGTTGATGAGAGTGTACAGCGTCGTACGGAGCTCGCGATAGCCTGGCGGGAGCGAGCTGAGCTCGAACGAGAAGGTGCCATCGCGCATCGAGTCGTCGGTCTCCAGGTACGATTCGACAACTTCGAGCTTGTACCGAGTGAACGGGCAGCCGACCATAGGACGGGGAACGTTGTCGACGACGAATGCGAGGTCGCGCGTGTCGAACACGATCCCTTTGTAGACGTCGACGAAGCGGTCGGAATCGTCGACGTCTTGAGCCATTGGTGAGTGGGTAGAGTTTCGAATATGCAGTTGGTGTAGGTGAGCGATGAATTGACTTTCGGCAAGCCGATCACCCTCGCGAAGCGTCTCCTTATAGGCACGCCCTCCAGGACGTCCATCGTCCCAGTTACCAACGATCATTATCGCACCAGCGAAAATCTGCGGATCATCAACCGCGATCCGTCCTACCCCTTCAGGTAAGTCGGCTGCGGTGTTCACGCCCTGTTCGTCTAGATACAACTTCAGCTGCTCAAGACCATCCACCTTGTCAAACGGAAGCCAGGTAACGTCCCCGGCCTTCCATTTAATCTCGAACACCGCCGCTAATCCTTTTCCTTTATGCGCTAGGATCTTGTCCACAGCCCACTCTGACCCATCTTCGCCAAAGTCGGCAACCTGGGTTTCCGACCGACCGGGGAACAATCGATCGTCGTTCGCCACATGGACACGTAACAAGGATGAATGGAACACGGGGTGTACGCCACGTTGTATCAACCGAGATGGGATATCTACCCGGTACGAGTTATTACCGAAGTCCTTGGAGATATGGTATGGACCGATATACTTGGGTATGAGCTTCCGAGCCCGTCCTTTCGGGAAGCTGATGTTCTTCGTAGATATGTAGACCATATCACCCACTACAAACGGCGCCGGCCTTCGATGTCGGTTGGCCAACCTGGTTTGTTTAACTCGTGCTTCTAGTATTGCATCATGAGCGGCCATGATGGCGGATTTCATTCGTTGGGCGAACACGCGCACTCCCGGATACTCAGGCGTCGACGGCTGGTCCCAGATCAACGAGCGCGGCATGCGGCCCGTGTCTAGGAAGAACGGTGCGTACCCTGTGCTCTCAGACCGAGCTGAGTTGATGGCGAATTCGATCCCAGGCAGCTTGGACACCCAATCCTTCTGATCCGGGCTTACACACGCTCGGATCATTTGGGTTATCGTTCTATTGGCCCGCTCAGTTGACCCATCACTTTCCGGATGGTACGTACTCGACATGGACAATTTGACCCCTAACATCTTATTCAGATGTTGCCAAAAGGTACTTGTAAACAGGACGTCTCGATCACTCACGATCCGCCGAGGCAGCCCATGCAGCCTATAGATTTCTGCAAAAACGAGCTCGGCGATGTCTCTCGCACGATAGTCTTGCCTACTGGGCACCAAATGGACACGCCCCGACAGTAAGTCGATTATCACAGTGATTTCGTCATAAGAGGAGTCACGATCCTTTGAGGCAGGTAGTGGCCCAACAAAATCGATCCCGATAGCCTCCCAGGGCTGAGCCGGTACTGGCAGTGGGTTCAGCAACCCATACGGCTTCTGATTATTAGGTTTACTTCGACGGCAAGTCACACAACTTTCGCAGAACGCGCGCACGTCGGGAACCATTGACTTCCACCAAACAGCACTCCGGATATACGCCACCGTCTTCGACGGTCCGAGGTGAGCCAACGTCGAGTGAGCGCGCGTAATGATCATCTCACGCACCCGTCACGCCCCTATCATGCAATCCGGTATGCATAATAGTTTAGCGCCGCCGTCTTTTAGGTATAGTACCCCGTCTTCGAATACGAAGTTACTATACTGCCCAGGTGCCTCGAGTATCAACTTAAAGAACGGATCCTCCTCATATCGCCCGCGAAGGCTACCGGGTATTGCGGCTCCGTTCTCGTACTCGCAAACTACATCGATGAACGAAGGTGGTACCGGATCCTTAACAGGATCTGTCAATTCTGACGGATTGCCATCAATCTCAGGGGATCGTGGCTGATCTTTGCTTCCCACCCCGCCCTCCTGACGCTGTTCAGGAACGAGCAGCGTCACCTTCTTGATGCGCTTGGCGAATTCTTTTGCCGTTTCAGCACGTCCGGTATCGGCGGGCTCGAGCCGAGTACGCGGTCACGGCCGCGGTCGTTCGGTCGCACTTGGTGCTGGGGCATCAAGGGACTGCCGTGAAGCCGGTTCAGGCACCGACGGCGGCTTCGGCAACCGGGGGCGCAGGGTGGCCATGCGCGCTTCCAGACCCGTCAAGATTGCCATGTCCCGGGAACCACGCGGCGGATGATCGTCATCGTGCTGTACCATTTCGGCCCGAGCCCGTACAAGGCCCGGCTCGTCCGCCGCGTAGATGCGAGAGAGAGCATCCGCGAGCTCGTTCTCCAGCCCCGGTACGTACTCAATTTGGAAATTGAATTCAGAAAGTTTTTCCAGCCAACGCGCCTGACGACCTGTCAGGTTCTTCTGGTTCATGAAGTGAACCAGGCCCTTGTGGTCAGTATACCACGTGAACGCCACACCGAGCAATAATTCGCGGTATCTCAGCATCGTCTCAAGCCCGGCAAGTAGTTCAATTTCATGCACGGCATAATTCTGTTGCGCTGCTGACAATTTCGCGGAGTAGAACGCAACAACCGCTGCACTCCTCCAATCAGGACCCTGAAGAATGCAGCCACCTACACCGGTCAAGCATCCATCAGTGACAACATGGACCGGAGGAGCGTCAGGCCCGTACCTCATGGCGACATGATTGATGTCGCGGTGAGTACATACTATCTTCCGAATTTCATCAAACGCCCGCTGTTCCGTAGGACCCCAGCGATACACCACATTATCGCCGGTGAGGCGATTGAGCACGTCCATCGGGATCCAAATGCCGGCACAGCCATCAGCCAGGTATCCCACCGCGCCCAGGAATCCCCGCAGCAGATCCCGGTTCACCAGTACGTTCCACGTCCGAATCCGCTCAACCTTGACAGGATCGAGCCGAATCCCTTTGTGCGATACAATCTGGCCGAGGAGCTTAATCTCATCCGCTAGGAAATGCATCTTTTTCTCGGACAGGTAAAATTCGTTTTCGCGCAGAATATCGATGACTAACTTGACGCATCTAATGTGCTCCTCCAAGTCGTTGGAGTGCACTATCAGATCATCTAGGTAGATCTCGAGCCAGGACCCAATGAACGGCGAAAATAAGTCGGTCATCACCGCCATGAACGTTGCGATTGCATTACAATCGCCTTGCTGTAGAACATGACTGACCATTGTCCCGTCAGGCGTCGCCATCAAGGTATACTTTACATCGTCTGGTTCCACGCGTACCTGCTCATACGCGCCCTCCAGATCCATCGCCGTGAAATAGCGGCTAGCCGCCACTCGTCGCCGGATGCCATCCTGGTCAGGCAAGGGCGACGACATCTTCTCGGTGTTATCGTTCCTCGCACGTAAGTCGACGGTGTTCCGCATGCCCCCTGAAGGTTTACTGAGGAACATAATAGGTGACGCATTAACCCCGCTAGCATATTCCCATCGACCAGACTTCAGGAAAATGTCGCGTTTCGTGTTCCACTGTTCCCGGAAGCCTTCCGGGCACCGTGAAGCCCGAAAAGGATAACGCTTATCCTTGTCGATTATAGGGATGCGGTGGTTCACCCGTCGCAGAGGAGGTAGTGTAGTCTCCGCCGCCTTTTGGTACAGCGGCGACGCATACTCATGCAACGCCTTACGGATTTCCTCAATAGACCTTTCTTGCAACTTTGCCGCCCGAGACGCGAGTACACCTACGTCGTCCCCAGACTGCAACTCTACGGGCTGCTCACACCCGACGATAACTCGGGCAGGGTTCAACCCAACCATGATCCTGTGCTGCCAGATAAACGGCGTGCCCAGGATCAAGTCATAACCATCGATGTTCATAATGTCGAAGGTGCGCTGGCTCGATATTTTCGCATACCGGAACGAAACTGTAGTCGAATAATTGACCTTGGTCTTAGACCCTTGTGCCGCAAGCTGGACTGTGAGCTGCGCGTCAAGGGGCGCACGCTCGACCTTTAGTTGTTCTGCAAGCGTGGAGGACATGAAATCTCCGAGCGACCCGGAATCGAGCAACGCCCGGCATTCGTGCCCATTTACCGCGACCGTGATAACAACGGGGCGGGGTATCTTGCGACTGACCGACTTAACCCGCACCGCATTCCGTTGTAACACTGGAAAACTTCCAACCGGCGGCTGCTTCACGCGAGCCACGCTGACACTCACATCGCGATCTTCTAGGTTCACCCCAATGCTCGCGGCATGATACCACAAGGTATTATCGTCCCCAACGGCGTACAACACACCATCAACCTCGAATACGCCTTCTACAGGTACGTCTTCGTCAGAATCATCCGACGGGATATTGAATCGTGTTCCAGGCGGGTAGTCACTATCCTCAAGGTCAGAACCCAGTGACCCGTCATCACGACGTAAGTCACCTTCATCGACGTCCTCCGAGTCCGCGATACCCGAATTCCATTCACTGAAGAAATCAGTGGCGTCCATCCAGAGTTCATCACGCTCGAACCGCCGGGTAAGGTCAACAAATTCAAGCATCCGGACACGGTACCAGTTTACGAAATCGAAACTTCGACGCATCAAGAGCTCGTTCGGAACTTCGATCGAGATGTCGAGGTAGGGTTCGTGCATTATCCACGGTGTGTGGCCGTCCTCAGATAGAACCATATAGGCGTCGACAGCAAACTCTTCCGTCCAGGTTTCCCACAAATGCGGCAGTTGATCGATTCGCGCCTCGATGAGCTGTCCCATACGGTTGGCGACTGGGTCACCAAACCTCAAGGACCCTTCAACGAAAGCGTCCCGCTCAAGTCGGTGATCGCGCACGGTCTCCGGACATTCAAAGGTACTGTCGTCCGCCTGTCGTTCATACATCTCACACGTCTGACGAGCACGGTGTGTAATTCCCCGCGTTACTAAGTAGTCCACGATCCAACGATGCCAGCGCCGGCGGTACCGCCGGTACCACTCATGCGGTGATCGCGCAACAGCATACCGATCTGCGAGAGACGGGGGGTTCCCAAAGGGGTCCAGTCCGTCGTCTCGAACAACGGTGGTGTTTCCCTCGTCTATTTGTGGTACGTCTATATCGCCATCCAACCTCCAGTGAACAGAGCCACAATGCAGTTCTTCTAACACTTCGGGCTCTTCGTCCTCTTCGAGGCCACCTTGTTCGTCGTCCAATTCCGACTCAGTAAAGTGAACGGCGTAACTCGTCTTAGATCCAGGTGCGTGCCCCTTGGAATCGCTTTTGATCTGTTGCCCAGCTGGGCAATTACGGCTCATATGCCCGGCCTTATGGCACTTAAAACATAGATTGTTTTCCAAGTGCTCCTTCATCTGTTCGCGCGATAGCGGTGAGTCCCGCTTCTGCACGCCATCTCTCCGTTTCGTGGACTCATTGGCAGACCCATTAGCTGGAGCGCCAGACGTTCCCGTCCGGGCAGCATATCCTCCGCGAGTAGTCTTGCCCCTTTCTTGGCGGCCTTGGTTGCCGCCGGACGCGCCTCCTCCACGACCATTATGAGAACTCCTAGCTGCCGTCGATCCATCGACATGCAGGCTGTTGTTGATGGCTCGCTCGGCGACCAAAGCGCCCTCCAACACTTCGTCATACGAGTTAATGTCGGGGTGTAGGCGATCCAGGTATAGTTGACGGCTGATGTCGTCATTCAATCCTTGCCAAAACCGATGGATGAACTGACGATCCGACACTTCATCACCCAGGTCGTCTTGGAATCCCTCCATGGTCGCCGCATATACCTTCACGGTGGATCCCAGCTGTCGCCAGGTGTGCCAACGATTCCGGATGGCATTCATGAACCCGTCCGGAAAGCAATAATTGAAAAGTTCATTGAAGAACTCGCGGACATCCCATTCTTCGGGCCGCTTCACGACACGTTTGAAGAACTGCTGTGCGTCTTTCTCTAGGAAGTGTCCTAACTTAGACACATGTCTCTCCCTGATGATTAACCCGTCTATCAAATACTCGACAGACTGTTCGACATATCGCTGGAACGCGTCAAGGTCATCCCTCCCGTCATACGCCTTCGGCGCCTCGGGTTTGATGTTTGGTTTCACCATGGATGCCCCAGCCCGTTCTAGCATTCTCATTGCGTCATTTAGCTGCTTCAACTTTCGCTCAAGCGTCTGGCCTAACGAGCTATTCGGTGAAATAAATTGGGACAGGGGTGCCACCAAAGTGCGAACCTTACGCCCTGCCGATATTATAGCGCTGACCGACGAGACGACAGGTCTGGAAGTACTCATTCCATGTATACCAGAACGCCCTCCGTCCTCGTGCAAGGTGTCCTCGTCCCGGAACCCGACACGAGGATCCGACCCAGCTTCAGCTCGTCGGGAATCGTCCCTCGCATCATGCCGATCCCTCGATCGCCCTTGGCGCAGGGCAGCGATTTCGGAGGCCTGGGACTCAACAACGCTCGTTAGGCGATCGAGCCGGCCCAGTACATCGTCGAGACGGCGCTCAGCCTTCAGTCTTGCGTCCTCAGACTCCCTCCGAGACCGCTCAGCTTCAAGGCGAGCCTGACTGGCGGTATCACGTTCCTTCCGGGCCTCACGAACTTCTCGCTTGCAGGTTTCCTTATATAACGTCGCCGAGTCACGGGCTCGCGCCATAATGTCCTCAAGGGGTTCATTCGACGACGGCACAGACGACTCGCTCCGGGCTGGTAACCCCTTCGATCCCTGGTCACCCAGCCTGGTTTTCAAAGAGTCGAGCGCCGCGCGCTGAGCGCCGACGTCGATCTCGGCTTCCTCAAGCCCCATGTAGCTAAGGAACTCGGGTACGTCATCCCTCACTAGTCCCTGCATACTATCGAGTGAAGTAGATACCTTACGCGCCTCCCCTTTTCTCTTATCAACAGGGGTAGGTGTCTCGGGTACGGCCTCCAACTCAGTGTCACTGTCGAACGGGCCGGATAATGAAGCCCGTCCTTTGCCTTTAGCCTTCTTAGGCGTACTCGGCACTCCCGGTACCTCCGGTGGATTGTATTCGATATCCTCATCATCCTTGGTTACCAAGGATGTATCCTGGAGGCTGGACAATGACGCAAAACTATTGTCATTCCTTACGATTGTACGTTTAGACAGGACAGGAGACGCGCTACGGCGCCTCCTTGGTACCTTTGACCAAGATTCGGTGCCGTCACTTGACGGCCCGCCGAACCCTCCAATAACGAAAGGCGTCAGGTCCCGCGACTCATCCTTGAGTACGCCAGGCGCCTGAACCCTCAACATTCCCGCCCCACGCGATGCCTCACGCGGCGGTTGCATATCGGTAGGGACATCATCATGACGTCCCACCCCCGACTCAGCCCCTAGGCCGGATGCATGAGCACCGTCCGTCAATGGGGATCCTCCGACATCCGACACGGGGTCAGATGCTACCGGAAGACGAACATCAGGAGGACCGTGAGCTGCCGCTCCGGTCCGTCCATCAGCAAGAGCACCCGATGGGCGTTCGGCGTCAGGGACGCCATCAGCCCGTCGGTCGCGACGGACCCACTGGCCCGTCGTTTCATCCCTAGACACCGGCATGATGTCAAGGGCACGCGCGATAACTTGAGGTTATGTTGCTCGTAGTCGTCGCGTCCGATGTAAGGGCGTACCTGGGTGATCAAGCCAGGTAGTTACCTATTCAAAGGAGTTAGCGACTAAGAGCGGTTAGGAAATACTCACTGAGATCTCTCTCAAAAATATGTGACGCGAGCAAAGCCCGATAAGGCTAAGGTGCGTTCACACGGTTAGGTTTTCGAGCGGCACAAGCAGAGAGTCACAGATCTCGGATTGAGCACTCGAGTAAGGTAAAACAAGAAACCAAAAGGTGAGCTCCCGACGACGAGGTCGCTTGACTTTATACCCTCGTCGTCGTCAGATGGAGCATGTGGTAGTAGAATGATAATCAAAAGGGAACGGCGCGCCAGCGCCGGCTTGCTCGAAAAGGAAATATAGTCTCGGTCCGACCTCCGGGAGAACCGGCACGTTACAGGCGTTCAGGGGCCATGTGGACAGTGAATGAATCGCGGACGCCGGCTCGGTCAACTCTCTCGCCGTCCTCGTCCTCGTCGCGCTCGATGGTCCAATAAAACGTCGTCAATATGCTTCCAAATCACCCCAATGCTAGCTTACTCTCGAATTTCTTTGCCACCCTTGCGCAACCTTGATGTTGCTACTAGGAGCGCAACACCGCTTTGGCGCTCTTCGTTGTTGTCCTGCCGAAGCCTACATGTCGACGCCTCCCAACAATTGCTTCCTGTCATCTCTGGTGGATTAAGGAAGATACCGCCCTACTGGGCATGCACGACGCCTATGGCTAAAGGACGCTGGATTGGGCGTCGTGTGCTAGAGGTTCTCTCCACCGAGTTTCGCGACCGCTCCATGGAATACAACGTGTGTTCCTCTTGAATCGAGTCTTTGCTCATGTTGACAGATGTTTGTGATATTTTAGGAGTATAAGATCCGATCAGGTCTTATTACCTTGAATGGGCAACGCATTGGGACCGAAACCATTTTTCGCGCTGGTGATAGACTCGAGTGCGTATATGGCGTTGCACGCTATAACCTTCGACCAATACTAGAACTTTATTCAGGGTATACATGCATCGTCATGAAACGCCGGTGACGTCTGCTCCTGTTCGGATCCTCCACCATGACAAGGAACGACAATTCATCGTTGTGGATAAGCCTGGCAGTCTCGTACGTCGATCGATGTCCCTGTTGTTCAGGACGCGATTCATGCTGAGTTGCTTGTTTCGTTAGCCCGTGCATCCGACTGGACGATATTCCAGGAACACCCTCACCTCCATCCTCACGGACGACTTTGGATACTCTCCTATACACAGTGAGCGGCGCTTAACCTAATGTGCATGTGAACAGTCAAGCCTGACCATATGCGTCGTTTAGCTATCAATCGACTGGACAAGCTTACCTCCGGGATCATGATCATCTCGCTTAATCCTGATCTGGCGAGCACGCTGGCAGACGAGCTTCGCGCCAAGAACCGAGACCAGGGCGGCGTCAAGAAGGAATACATAGCGAGGTGTCGAGGATTATTTTCCTCGTGAGCTCATCGCCATACTGCAGATACAATTTGATGGGTCTCAACGCAGCATTTAGTGGCGAAATTACATGCGAAGAGCCTCTGGCGACAGTCAATAGGCAGAGCGGCCTCGTCATCGTACATCCAGAGGGAAAGGTTCGTTGTTCGTCTGACGCTGCGATTTGGGCCGCAGATTATGACCTCTCAAACTTAGCCAGCTAAGACTGTCTTCGCTCGTCAGCACTATGACCCCTCGACGAATACGAGCGTCCTTCTTTGTCGACCGTTCACCGGAAGATGTTCGTTTCCTTCACGCTATACCCTACTCGCCAGCCGAAGTGACTCTTTCTCTTCTTCAGCCCATCAGATCCGCGTTCATCTGCAGTACCTCGGATTTCCTATCGCGAATGACACGCTATATTGCGATCCACGCGTCTGGGTAAGTCCATCTCATCAACGTCATTGTCCATTGTCCAATTGATTGATTGACGCGACTCGTAGGGTCCCAGTCTAGGCAAAGGCGGTGTCGTCGATGCCTCTCCTTCCTCTAATGAACGCCTGGACGAGTTTTCTGGCACCACGGAGGATGCGGAGCGCATACGATTGTGGTCGCCGTTCTCTTTATCAGACGATCTGGTCGGAGTGATATGGCGAACGCATCGCGTGATGGTCAGCGCGTGACGGAATTTCAGGTGGCAGGAGCGCTCATGCCGTTTCTGCGTTTGCTATAGGATGAAGTCAAGGGCTGGAGTCGCCAGCGCGATTACATCTTCCGCGACAAGCCCCTCATCGATCCTGGGACGTTGGATCTGCCCCCTCTGCCACCGCACCCACACAATATCCAGAAACGTAAGAGTACGAGTGCTGGCCAGCCTCCGGAGCGTCTATCGAATACATCCCCGGACGCGGTTTCGCCTGCCAGCGATACGATTCCGACCGTGTACGCAGAGACACATCCACACCCACGGTGGGGCGACGATCCAGGTCCCTACTGCCCGGAATGCTACCTACCCCTCTATGCCGATCCGCGCCCCGAACGACTGTTCATATACCTTCACGCCCTCCGGTACATCACCAGCCTCGGAACGTTCGAAACAGACATGCCCTGGTGGGCAGCGGAGGACTGGCAACCTGAACGTGCTTGATAGCGATTTGATCCCTTCACATCTCGAATTGCATGCCAGAATGAGAAATACAATGCATCCTTCCACCGTCTATGATCCCATTAAATCGACCCGTATGCCATCTTGATGATCCCGGAGGGTATTGGAATCCGTAGTTTTTTCCCTACTTTTTGCTCTTGCGCGCGCGAAGGGCGGGGTTGGGCTCTTCGTCGTCGAAAGGTCATTCTAAGTCAACCTCGCGCCCCTCCCGACCGCCCGATCGGCGGCGGCCTCGACGTCCCAAGCAACCTGCCCGCTCCATCTCTTCCAATCGTCGCGTCGCACGCCTATGCCCACCGCCCGGTCCGCCGCCGCGTCCGCGTCCCACTCCCGCTTCGCATCGAGATCGGCGTCCGTTCGTCTCGTTGTCGACGTCGCTTTGCGCCCCGGCGGGTGGGCGACGACCTCGGGGCCGTTGGGGCGGTCTGGACCGGGTACCACGTGGTTGAACAAGCCTGATCAAAATCGTCTTCGATAAAAGCACTCCGGTCTCGCGATTGTGGGCGGCGTCAGGCGAGATTGCTCACCTGTCGGCCGCGGTGCGGCGGTGACTTGTCCTGTTTTCTGAGCGGACATGGGTAATGCTGGGTAAGATGATGGATGTGCCGTGGTTAGAGAGCGTATCGGTAGGAGTCGCACCCCGTGCAGCCGGAGCAGTTATATGGAAGAGGTGCGGAAGCGAGGCGGTGGTGCGGGCAGTGACGTCATCCGTGCCGATCGAGTAAGGAGGTGGTATGGCCCGATATGGAAGGTAACGCGGAAACGCGCCCGGTCACTGTAGCCTCGAGGAGTCATCGAGGCCAGCAAGCAAAGTCGGTTGTCCTCGTCGAATATCCAACAGGCTTCGCTTGGGCCGTCACTACTGCCGCTCGATATCCGGGTACTGCTTCTCGTTAGGCGCCGGTGCGATATCATGGAGCTCTCGCAAACAGGACATCGTCACCACTTCCACGTGCGAGGCCGAATACGTTGCGGCTTGTAACGCGACCAAGGAAGTGCTCTGGTTACGCCAAATCCTCCGCGAGATCGGATTCGACCAGCCAAAGGCGACTTGCCTGGGCGCCGATAACCAAGGTGCTATCGTTCTTGCTGAACAGCAGTCACACCACACCCGCTCTAAGCACATCGATGTTCGCTATCACTTCACTCGCGAACGGGTCACTGCTGGCGACATCTATCTAACCTACGTGCGCTCTTCCGACAACATCGCCGACATCTTCACCAAGGCTCTCGCTGCGCCCACCTTCACTCGCCTACGGAAACGCCTCGGCGTATCTCTTCTAGGATCGGATTTGGAGGGTTAGGTTTCAGGAGGAGTTGAGGATACGGAGTTGACGTTGAGGAGGAGTGTCAGACGATGAGGAGCGTCTAGCAACGCCACCCCCTAACCCCACACGGCAACCGCCGGGCGTATGCCATAGCCCGTCGGTTGACCTCTCGCATCTCTACCTTCGTCCACACGGACCGCGGTAGAGGTGCGAGTATTGATCCCACATATTGCTACCGCGATACTCATATGTTGTACTATACAGACTGGCGCTAACCGCGCCTCCGTTAGGTACTTAATATTATAAACCTTCGTCCACACGGACCGCGGTAGAGACTGGCGCTAACCGCGCCTCCGTTAGATTCATTGAAAGGTTATGAGCCCTGACGGAGAAGGGCCTTCCAGTCGTATCTGTGATATTCGGATGCCGACGGTAAGACGCCGCGGAGCGCAAGTTGGGGGAGACAGAGCAGAGTATCGGGAAAGGGCACGGCGTCCCCATTCGTCCCATTCGTGAAAAGTGCGAACTCCTTCAGCGACGGGAATGTTGTGGTCGATGACAGTATGCTGTCGATGACTTGCAATGTGTCGGCCTCGGGATGTTGCTCCCACTGAAGCCCGATTCGCTCGATCACGGGTGAACTGAGGCTGGAGAGCAATGCACCTAAGAGAGTCGCATATGATGGAACCGATGCTGATTTGAGTCCACGGACTTGCACAGCGCGCAGCGCTGCTCGCTTCGTCGCCACGAAGCATTCGGAAAGATCGGCTGTGGATAGCACAGATTAGCCCGATGCGATGTTTTCAGTTCTAGATAATTGACGAGGCTCACCCATTCTTTGCGGGAACAGGAATTGCCCCAACACACACAAAGTGGTCAACGATCGGTCTGATTCTTCGAGGACCGTCCGCAGAAGATCGGCATCAGTCGTATCGCGCAATTCGAGTTCAAGCTCGGCGAGATGCTGAAGGGCAAGGTAGGAGACGGCGTTGGCAGCTGAATCGTTAAAGATAAGCCCCAGTTTTTGGATGGAACAGGGAAGCGTCTCTCCGAGGCTTGCTTCCTTCGCGTTGTCGAAGTCGCAGCTAAAGAGGACAAGGAAGGATACGTTTGGCATTGCGCGAAGGAGCGAGCGCCACGCGTCTGGGGAGCCGAACACACAATTGGCCATCTTCAGTTTTTTGAGCAGCGGAAGATGTAGTCGACTGCAAGTGCGCGCCAAGTCTGGCCCTTCGAAACGGAGTTCGAAGAGAAACAGTTCCCGCAAGTGGGTGCATCTTCCAAGCGTATCTATTGATCGAACGAGATCTTGATCAGGGATACCAAAAATTAGAGAGCGAACGTGTGTCGCAATGTGGTTTTGACTCCTGAGCAGTTCTTGGATGGCTTGATCCCGAGCAGGGTCAGCTAGGTGAAAGAGGTTGACGTAGTGGAAAAGTTGTCGTTGACTGGCATGTGCTAAGGACCGGCAGACTAAAGAAGTGGTTTTGAGAGCGTCAAAGTCCGGCAATGCTTCGACAATCGCGTCGAGGATCTCTTGAGGAAGATTGGCCATGTTCCGGAGCCTGGAGGCGATGGTGAACGAGAGCGAGGAACACCCTCCTTGCGCCGGCGCCGCGGCGGAGAAGGCGGGCCGATCCCGTCATAGTCTGTCCAGCATGACGCCTCTTCGAGACTTCGACCCGCACCACGATGCACAAGCCGACCCTTGTCCCCGACATCATTGTTCTGACCAAGGTCATGCACCGTTGCCGTCGCCTCGTGACATCCCTCCAATATCATCGCGATGGATACTAAAACCTGGATGACCTCTCAAATCCCGGGCGTGCCGTAGTCGCTCAGACATCACCATGTTCGGGCATCGTCTCTGTCTGTGTCTCTTGCTCGTCTACGTCCGGATTGCGTGCGTTGCGATACATGTGACGCTTCCGAAGATATCTTCGCATCCGACAAATGCATCGCAAATCCTAGATCGCCGTCTAGCGTCGTTCTCGATCGAGTTTTCGTACCTTCCGTCGTTCGGCGGCAACGCGTCAAACCCGAATCTGCTAACGAAGGAGTTGATGCAGAGGTTGGTGGAGAGGACAGGTGTTGGTCCCGATGTCCGCCCGGGAGGGATAACCATGTCAGTCCCCAATCGGCCCGTTAACGGAGTGGTCATTGACTGGGTATCACAGAGATAGTTCGATATTTAACCCGGACGCGTCTGCACTAGAACTGACTGAGAGCTCGGTGAGAAGCAGTCTGAGCTAGAGGACACCCAGTTGTGCTCATCCAGCGGAAACTCCAACTTCAGAGCGGCGGGATATATCGTACGACTTAGTAAGTTGACATCACCGGAATGCCGATAAAAGTCGACCCTGAACCGTCGGACAGTGGACCTGCGTTCTACGAGTCGCTGGGGGTCTTCCCTGATACCTCGCGTTTCGTCATCACCGTTAACCTCGGGAACGACACGATCGGCATCGCTCGCGATGAAATCGCGGCCGCGATCAAATACGTGGGCTGGGATCGCATATACGCCCTAGAAAGTGGGCCTACCCGATCAGCTTGCTGTATACACCCGATGCTCATGCTCATGCTGCAGTTGGCAACGAAGCAGACCACTACGCTGGCGGAAGCAGACCCAGCACCTGGGCTTCTTCGGACTACACGGCACAGTTTCTGGCAAGTTGGTTGATTTGGTAGGGAACGACATATTCTGACGTTTGTCATGGTAGGGATGGACATCCGTGCTGACGAAAAACCTCTCGTTGCCTCATAATATATTTCAAGCGGGAGGCTTTGCCGAAGACCCACTCCCGACAGCGCCTATGACCAGTCAGTGTGGATTTCCGCCCGGGACTACCATAAAGCTGATAGCTGACTTCATAGCTGTTTCCATTATCGAGGAGGGTGTACTCGCTACTAACGCCGTTAAGGTCTTCGCGCAACATACGTATCAATACTCCACCTGTGACCCAGTGCGGAACGCGATCGCGACACTGCCGAACCTGATCAATCACGGCAACATCACGGTGCAGGACATCCATCCTATCCGACCCCTTCCTTGTCTGATCAACCATCTCGCAGGCATATCTGGATGAGTGGAAGCCGCAGATCGCGGCTGCGAAGGGCGCCGGAAAGGAGTTCGTCGTGGGGGAGTACAGCTCTGTGTCATGCTCCGGCAAGCAGAATGTCACGGACACCTTTGGTCAGGCTCTCTGGCTAGCCGACAGTACGTGGAGCTCCTCCGCACATCGTCTTCCAGTTGAATCTTAGCTTGTGCAGCGGTGCTGTATGGCGCGTTCCTGAACATCTCGCGAATGTACCTTCATCAAGGGGCAACCCTCGTGTTACAAAGCAGCAACCAGGCGAACTCCCCGGGCTTCTCATGGGTGTGCTGGTTACCTCTCTAACTCCTTTATCCCCGCGCGCTCACAAATCCTTCACGCCAGTACGATCTCTGGTACCCGGTCGAAACCGACCGCTACGGCGCCGCACGCGCATCGCCGTCTTTCGTCGCGTACCTCCTCATCACGGAGGCTGTCGGATCGTCCGGCCAGACCCAGACCAGCCTGTTGGATGTCCCCCAGCACCCGCAGCTCGCGGCGTACGCGATCTGGGACAAAGGCTCGCTCGCGCGTCTAGCGATCCTCAACCTCGCGGAAAGGAACGTCACAACGTCGGCAGAGGACGCGGAGGGCGTCGCGATCACGCTTGACCTGGGTGACTATGTCCAGGCGAAGGGAACGGGGAAGGTGAAGAGGATGGCGGCGCCGGGGTTGGACTCGAAGGATGTCGGGGCGATTACGTGGGCTGGGCAGAGCTATGAGAACGGGACGGCGAGCGGGGTGTTGGATGTCGAGGAGTTGGAGAATGGGAAGGTCACTGTGCAGGGCAGCGAAGGTGTGCTGGTGTTCCTTCGTTGAGCCTGATCGTGCGCAGGATAGCTAGATTGGGGAGGGGGGGTACCGCCACCGCAGTGACCGGGTTGTCTTTCGCCACGATGCTTGCGCTCACGGACGTCGTTACATTGCTTGAGTTTTGACGATGAGAGGACTCGCACAAGCATACGACGAGAGCTGCGCATATATTCTTGTCCGTCGCTGTTCCCACCGTGCCCTAGCTTCGACGGACGCCCGAAGGACCGAACCATGTGCCCCGATGTAGGCCACGGCCCATGGGGTTCAAGATAACCCGCACACTGCGCAGGAGATAAGCTGAGAGAGATCGGGTCAGCCGTCTCTTCTCATCGTCGACGTCGGCGAGGACCCTGCGCTCAGGCATTTAAGCATTGTGCACCATGTCCGAGCCAGCGACGCAATACTACCACCACGGCCGGTTTAAGTTCGCGGGCGGCACGTTGCCCAACGCGATCACGGCGTACAGGACGTATGGAGATCCAACCAAGCCGTGTGTGGTCTTTCCGACCTGGTAAACTGGACAGTGAGCATGCCGTACCGCCTTTGTCTTCGTGTCCGTGGCATGCTGAAACGACCTCCCCAGGCCAAGCCTACCTCGTCGGGCAGGGGAAGGTGAGCTTTCCCTGAAAAGACGGGGAAAATAATTCGCGGTCTCTGACGAGCTCTTTGCTTCCAGGCGCTCGACACGACGAAGTACTTTGTGGTGACTTTCGCCCTTTTCTCCAATGGCGAGGTGCGCGTGCATATAACCTCGGGCCTTCATGTCGCTCTGAGTCCATCCCGTCATCCAGTCTAGCTCCCCGTCCAACACCCCTGTCCCGTACAACGGCCCGTACTTCCCCCACGTCTCCTACGAGGACAACATCCGTGCGCAGTATGCAGTCCTGACCAAGAAGCTTGGCGTGCAGACGCTGCACATGGTCGTTGGGTTCAGCATGGGGGGTCAGCAGGTACGGTACTCCGAGACAGTCCATTTTCGAAGGCTCAATCCGAAGTCGTGAAGGCATACTATTGGGCGACCGTTTATCCCGAGTTTGTCGAAAGGTATGCGAAACGCCAACTTGGCCTCGGCGCTCGCGCCTGCGGAGAGCACTGACTTCTCCCGGCTATCTAGATTCGTGTGCATATGCGGATCCGCGAGGACGAGCCCGCATAACAAATGGTGTGTACACGGTTGTCCGGTATGCATCCCCGTACTGGGGCTGATCTGCGGCACAGTTTCCTCGAGGGGCCGAAGGCGGCGTTGGTCGCTTCGAAGGATTTTGAGGGCGGACACTACACGTCGCCTCCGCAGCACGGCATCCGTGCCTTCGGCCGGGTGTATAGCGCGTGGGCGTACGGCCAGACGGTACGCAAAGACGAACGTCGTGCGCTCGCACCTGGCTCATCTCCCCGTCCCGTCGCAGTGGTTCCGCGAGCAGCAGTACTTGCACGTGGGCGGCGAAAACACGTTCGTCCCTGCCTTGTCCGTCTTTTCGTCTCGCTTTTGGACTGACGTGCGCCCATAATAGGTACCCGGACATGGAGACGTGGATGCGCGAGAACTGGGAGGGTCGCTTCCTCGCGCGCTGGGACGCGAACGATATGCTCACGCTGCTGAAGACGTGGCAGACGGGCGACATCTCGCTCGTGCGCGATGGCGGCGACTATCCGAAGGCCCTCGCGGCGATCAAGGCCAAGGGGCTCGTTATGCCCGGCAAGACGGATCTGTACTTTCCCGTAAGTACTGGCCTGTGTTTTATTATTATTATTTCGATATCAGTGGCTCATGGGTCCGAGGCAGCCGGAGGACAGCGAGATTGAGATATCGCACATGACGAACGGGGCGAAGTTGGCGGTGATCGACACCGTGTGGGGACACTTCGGTGAGGAATCTGATTTTGGTGGTCATGCGTGTCGGCACTGTTGCTGACTTGAGATCCGTGCAGCTGGTGGGGGCAGCAACACGAAGGATACGGATTTCATCACAGCTCAGATCAAACAGTTCTTGGAGGAGACATCATGAGGGGGCAGGGCGGGGGAGGGTCGGTGGCTGCGATCATCGTTGCGAGCAGAAGACTCGGAAAGTGTCACATCTTGATGAGTTCCTGGCACGGTGTTTCCTCTATTATGACGCAGAACCGCAGGGCAGCTCTTGTAACAGTATGAGGGCAGTGAAAACAGGCGGATGAAATAACCCATGTAGACGCTGTACCAGGACCGGGTACAAAACCCCGGTCACCCAAGTCTATAAGGTGTTTATCTTTGTACCTTGGCCATCACGGTCCGCACTCGATCCTTCGTGGAGGAAGTGGAGGAAGAACATGGGAAGAACAGAGGAAATCAAACGCCCCCATGAAAGGACACAGTCACGTGATGTACTGATACGCGCTCGTGTTCTCGTCTGTGGCGTTACAGTCGTCGGTCGTCGACGTGTTCTTGTCCGTGAACTCGATTTGACTCGACTTTACTGTAAGACCACTATCGACCTTGCTGGCCTTGACACTGGCAATTTGACTGGAAACATCGGAGCCCGAAGAATCATTTATCCCGTTCACTGCAGAGATCCATCATCGTTGTGCTAGAGGGTGAATACAGGAATCGGTATAGGCGGCCGCATCTTGTGGCAAGCTTCTGTGAGTTTTGATGCGCATATACTCGACATTCGGAGGATGTATGCTATACCATGAATTTATATTGCCCATTCGTCGGCCGTTTGGTTCACCGTTTCGAGAACAATGGGATGATACTTCTATCAATGCAGTCCCACTTTACCCTCCGCTTTCTTACGAGCCACGACACTTGCTACTCGCTCTAATACATCCTATATCCCAGGAAGATATTTCATGGGGCTTCTTCCCCACCTCTCCCCGCGCTCCCGGCCCCTGCCGCCTTTCCCCCCTGGCGAGCCCGAAGACTACAAGATCGTGAACACTTATCCGGTCAACGGCGCCGGCTCGTCCGCAAGTGGCTCTCGTCCCGCCCGGAATAGCAGGCTGGAGCCGCAGCGCGCCAAACTCCTCTCGCCGTCGCTCCGGCACGCGCCGCTCCCGAACGGGGCGGACGACGACAGCTTCTTCGAGGATCGCGTGCCCGACGTCCCGGACGGCCAGGCGTACCCGGAATCGTTGGCGCACCACAGCGACGAACTTCGGAACGGCTTCAGCCCGCGCAGCCAGGACGTGCCGATCCCGATCCCGCCCCCCCGCGAGCGCCCCGTCCCCGCTGTCTCTTTCCCGCCGCCACCGCAAGGCGCGGTTTCCGACGCGACATCGGACTCCGCGTCTATCATATACAACCACGATGGCGGCTACTGGGAACGTGTTAAGCCCCTATCTCCCGTCGCCTACGAGGAAAGGCGCGCGTTTGAGGGACCGCCTCCGACGGCGCCGCGCGTGTACGACAACCCTCCGACACCCCCAGGGGTATATTCACAACGACCTCCTCAACGGATCCCGCCTGTCTCCGAGTTCATGCGTGGGCCTGCGTTCCCCGGACCCGATCCACCTCAGTGGCCTGAACCCGACATCCCCTTCCAGACGGCGGCGATGCCCGTGCCCGATGTGCCAGATACGATGGTGGGCCCGTCCTCAATACCCATGGACAACGCCGCCCGAGGTGTCGGCCCACGCGACGACAATATTGGTGATCCCGTGTCTGGTCCCAATGGCTACGATCCTCCTGCTTCCGGAGATACCGCCTTCGGAGATGACGGTCAGCTGCCGTCCAGCAACCACGTCTACCAAGACGACCCACGTTACCAAAACGGACACTCGACGTCGTCGCGCTCGAGGCGGCACCGGCGAACGGGGAGCAGCTCGCGCCACTCGGCGGGCCTGACGAGTCGCGACCTCGTCCGGCTGATCATCAGCGAGGAGACGCAGGCGGCGGACGCGCGGGCGGCGCTCGACGCGGCGGGCGCGCAGTTGGAGCACGAGCGGCGGCGGGCGGACGCGGCGGAGCGCGCGGTAACGGACACGTTTGCGTCGCTCCGGCGCGCGAACGAGGCGAAGTTGGCTGCGCAGCAGGAGCTCGCAACGCTGTCGGAGGAGCTGAGGCTGCATCGGGCGCAGCTCGAGCGCGCGCAGCAGGAGATTTATCGCGCGCAGGAGGTGCTCGAGCAGGTGGAGCGCGCGCGGGAGGACGCGGAGGAGGACGCGGCGAAGGCGCGCTCGGCGGCGCGGAGGTTGAGGGAGGAGAAGCTCGTGTGGAGCGCAAGGGAGGAAGGGAGGCGGGCAGGGTTCGAAGAGGGCATGAAGTGGGCGCGTAGGGCGGGTGCATTGGATCGGAGGAGGGAGCAGATGGAGGCGGATGCTGCGGCGATGGACGAGGACGAGGAAGACGAGGAAGACGAGGACGAGGAGTATTATGACGAAGAGGAGGAGAGGGCGTTGCAGGAGGAGGAGGCGCAGCAGAAGCAGCAAGCTCGCGCCGGTCCGTCACGCCAACCTCAGTACCAGCCCCAAGCGCCCCAAGCTCCCCAAGCTCCCCCACCGCCCCCTGCTAGCGTCGACTTCGGCGCGCCTGCGCCCAACGCGACGTCGGCGCTCATGGCAGGGGCGTCTTTCATAGCTGCCTCCCAGGCCGAGGCGCGCTCCCCCGCGCCGACTGAAGACCTTCCGCCAGGGCCGCCCCGCCGTAAGTCACCGGCGTGGGCGAGCAAGAAGCGAGGTGGGTCCCGTATGGCCAATATCATCTCGCGAGTGAGCGGACGCCGGAATCGACGGTATCAACAGGACCAGCCCCCCGTCGATGAGCTACAGCCCCCGCCGCTCGCGCCGTCGCCCCAGGCCTCGCCCCGCATGCCGAGTGGTCATATATTACCGCCGGAGGGCTGGATCCCCCGCGCGGACGAGGACGGGATCTCGCTGCCACCGCCGTGGGCGATGGGAGGGACGACGTCGCCGCGCCCGCCGCCGCCGCGCGAGCTCGCGGTGCACCGCTCGGAGGACACGATGAATACGCACACGAACACGGATTTTGCGAGCTTGCGCCAGGACCCGCGGGAGCACGTCCGCGTGCGCGATTTTGGGTACGTCAACGCCGTTCCACGCCCGACAGAGTCGGTCACGGCGAGCACGGCGAACTTGAGGAACAGGATGAGCGTGGTGCCGGAGGTGGTGCCGACGCCTCGAGTGGGCCGCAGGGCGAGCGTGGCGCCGACGGAGGGGGGAAAGAGCGTGAGGAGGGAACAGGGGTTGGGGTCGATGAGGGCGAGGACGCCGGAGGGCGATTGGGTGGAGGTTGGGACGGAGGGAGAGATGCCTCAGACTCAGGGAACGCAGCAGTTTGCTGATCAACTGCGATACTCCAACCCGGACATCGCGCAGGATTGGAGAGACCACGCGGTTCAGGAAGTATGGACTCAGGCACTTTTGTGTGCTGTTGGCGTGAGCTGATGCTTTCTTGGACGCTATAGAGGACGCAGAGCCCGCCGCGACGAGGCCCCCCGTCGATGCGGACAAGGCCGTCCAAGCTGACCACGCCTGCCCCTCTGGCTCCGCAGTCCGAACAGGGATCAAGGTCTGGCGGGCACACCCGCCAGAGCACCGCGCTCTCCGGGACGTCGGGGACCGAGATTGGGATCAGCGTCGTGCCCCCGGTACGTCGTTCTTCAATATCGGTGCCAACCTCGAAGCTGACCAGCTAGATCACGCGATAGACGCGGTCCGCGACCGTGACAGGCACACCTGCGACGCGTCGTTCGGGCACCGGCATGCTCAGTCCGCTGGGCCACATGGAGTCCATACATCAGCGAATGGCGTCGCCCCGCGCGCTTTCAAGCCTCGGCCGACGGCCCAGCCGCGAAACTCTTGGGCATCGCCGTTCCGCGTCGCTCAGCGCTGCTCAGCCCTTCGCCGGTGGCGGCGGGTCCTATCGGCAGGCACCATCCCGTGTAGGCTCGGGCACGCCGGGCTCCGTCATGTCTGGCGGGGGCGGAGGCGGGGGCGGAGGCGGGGGCGGCGTGCAACGCGTCGGGAGCGCATCGAGCCAGGTGCCGCTCTCAGCGTCCAACTTGTCCGACCACAATGTGTCGACCTCAAATCTAACCGCTGGTGGAGGTGGGGGACACTCGCGCACGGGCGCACAGCCGGATCTGCGCCGCATGCCGTCGTCCACGTCGATCGCGTCCGTGGCGTCGCGTGGGTCGTACAAGCACTACGACCCGCGCGAGTACGCCGATCCGGCCGTGCTCGCGAGCCAGAGCGTAGAACGCCTCAGTGGGGACTCGGGGCCGAGTCCAGCAACGCAGGCGAACACGCTCGCCAATGCTGCCAGTACTGGGCGAACACCGAGGTTCGGGACGAGGCCTTTGTCGTACGTGTCCGGGAGATCGGGGAGGTGATTGTTGCACGGTCCAGGGCGGCTTCATCTGTTGGTCATCTGTGATTGTTATTTTGGAGGGTGAATCTTTTGCTTGCATTTATTGTGGTGCTTGCTGTGAAATACTGTCTCGCCATGCTTTGCGGAGTTTGGGGAGGAAACCATACATTGACGGTGAACAGAAGCGCGTCGGTGGCTGAAGGTCGCGCGTCGGCTAAATTTAGACAGGCTGGTAACGAAGGCTAACATCGTTCTTCCTCTCGCCCTCCCGACATGATCTCAAAGTCGGGGTGTCTGGGTGCTGCAAGCCAGAATTTGCACAATGAGGTTTCGTATTATTCGCCTTCCGTTGCGAAGTATTCGCCACGGTCGTCGACGAGCAACCAGATTCCTGTGTTATTGACGGTTGCCGCTGATCTTGCGTTACCAAAGCATGCAACCCCTCCACCAGCGGGTGTAGCACAAGGTCTTCCATCACTCGATCGGCGTCGGTATTGGCGAAAACCGCGTCAGGACATAACCATAGTACGCAATACCTCTGAGTTCATCTTGATCGGGTCCACGCTGGTGGTCTCCGGAGATCGCAACAGTGCGTTCCTTCCATGCGGTCCTTCTTTTATTAGATGTGCTGAATTTAGCTACTGCCAACTCCACCGATATTTTGCGGATATAAAAGCAGCTCGTAGACGCCATGGATTGACATCGAGTTCGTCTCGGTAAAGGGTTGCAGCTACGAGACAGCCTCAGGACTCACTAGCCATGTTCCGCTCTTCTGCTCTGCTGTCTCTGCTGCTCCTCGCCATCGGGGGTTATACGACCCCGGTTGTGCGTGAGCCCTCCCCCGTCAAGCTGCCGTTCGCCGTCAGGTCAGTCGGGCCTTCTCCACGCGCATGGCAAACAGTATTGAATACATGATATGCAGGTTCAACAACGGCACCAACGGCGTGCTGAACGTCGTTGAGGCTGACCGCGCTCGTATCAACCTCATCAAGGAGAAGGGTGCCGCGCTCGCTGAGAAGCACGGAAACACGCACAAGCGCACGTCATACTCCATCAGCGTCACCAACACGGCCGTCACCTACGTCGCTAGCGTCGGCGTCGGCAGCCCTGCCACGTCTTACAGCCTGCTCATCGACACCGGGTCCAGGTAAACATGGATGAGCTCCGACGAGATCCTTTCTCATATGGTCTACAGCAACACTTGGCTCGGTGCTGACAAGAAATACGTCAAGACCAGCACTTCCAAGTCCACCGGCAAGTCCGTCTCCGTGAGCTACGGCTCTGGCTCCTTCTCCGGAACCGAATGTCAGTTCAGTCTTGGACCCAGTGGAAGCGCATCATCTCATCCTTTGCTTCTTACTCTTCAGACACCGACACCGTGACCCTCTCGTCTGACCTGGTCATCACCAAGCAGTCCATCGGCGTTGCTTCCACGGCGTCTGGCTTCTCCGGTGTCGATGGTATCCTCGGTATCGGCCCTACCGACCTCACCGAGGGCACTCTTGGCAGCTCCTCGTCCACCAAAATTCCGACCGTCACCGACAACCTGTACTCCCAGGGCACGATATCGGTACGAGCCGTTTCCCGGTCTGTTAATGACTGCCTGCTAAACCGCTCTCACGCAGACCGCCGCTGTCGGCATCTACTACGCCCCCACCACCGTTGAGTCGACCACCAACGGCGAGCTCACCTTCGGCGGCGCCGACAGCAGCAAGTACACCGGCTCGCTTCACTACGTTTCCCTGACGAGCACCTCGCCGGCCTCGGAGTACTGGGGTATTGATCAATCGATCAAGTACGGCTCGACCTCGATCCTCAGCTCCACCGCTGGTATCGTCGACACCGGCACCACCCTCGTCTACGTGAGTCGCTCGTCTGCTCACTGCAAAACGTATCTTGTCTGACCTATATCCTCCCTAGCTCGCCACGGACGCGTTCGACAAGTACAAGTCCGCGACGGGCGCCAAGCTGGACAGCACGACCGGCCTGCTGCGCATCACGACCGCGCAGTACAACGACCTCTCCGACCTCGTCTTCACCATCGGCGGCAAGAAATACACGCTCACGCCCAACGCGCAGATCTGGCCGCGCTCGCTCAACTCGTACATCGGCGGCTCGTCCTCGCACATCTACCTCGTGGTGAACGACATCGGCTCCAGCTCGGGCTCTGGCCTCGACTTCATCGACGGCTACACCTTCCTCGAGCGCTTCTACACCGTGTTCGACACCACCAACAGCCGCTTCGGTATCGCGACCACCGCGAAGACGACCGCCACCTCCAACTAGGCGCGCGTTTCAAGCTCTGCCCCCCTGGCTGCACACCAGGGTGTTGGACATGGCTCTCAGCCAATTGCAAGGATGGATGGTATGATTACGGATGGAATGTATCGCATCAATGTTGTAACGAGCTCGACCGCAATGGAACTTCGGATGTACTGTGTCTGTTGGCTCGCTAGAGCCGCACGAGGATCCTTATTCGATTGAGACTGAAGAATCGAACGTCGATCTACTCTATGGTACTTTGTGGGCAGACCGTAGACGATATCGCGATCGCTTCGAATTCGAACCACTTTCTGTAGTGCGGAACTTGAATAGCGTCTGCATATGAACTCCCGCGGAAACCGCCCCTGAAGCCATTTTCGCTCGCTCGTCGGCTTCAGCCTTCACAAATCATGAGCGACGACGAAGATAACCAAGGGCTCTCTCTAGACTCTGTCTTCACCGTCAGTCCAGCTCATCTCAACCTTGATCGGGCCTATGGATGTCCATCGCGATGCGTTCGATAGGAAGAACCACGACCACCTTCGCCTGAACCCACTTTTGCGGTCTACCGGCGACGGGTCAACGACTCGGATCCGGACTCTTCGTCATCTCTTGCGGAATCGACTTCTTGGGCGGAGATAGAGATTAAATTGGTCGGATCGCATCCGCTTTGGGGGCATTACCTGTACGTATCCGAGTAGAGACCTGGTCCCCGTTTGACGTGAACGTGCGCTCATCCCGTCGTGCTTTCAACAGCTGGAACGCGTCGCGCTCGTTCGCGTCGTATCTGGACCAACACACGGAGCTTTTTCGTGACAAGAATGTGCTTGAGCTGGGTGCAGGAGGTGGGCTTCCAGGGATAGTCACCGCGCTCGACGGAGCACGTTATGTCAGTTCCAAGTTTGACCGATCGGAGTCGAGACTGAGGTGGCTGAACGTGGCGCAGGTCGTCCTCACCGACTATCCCGATGCTTCCCTCATCGACAACCTAAAAGTGAACGTGGACAGGAACGTCCCTGCTGCAGCTCAAAGCGCGGTCCATGTTACGGTGACACAACGTCTGCCTCGTGCCTTTCTTTTACACCATTTCTGATGATGTCCATCGCATGTCCAGGGCTATATATGGGGTCATGATGTCGATCCCTTACTGCAGCAGCTACAAGAAGGCGAAAAGTTCCATCTGATCATCCTCTCCGACCTCGTCTTCAATCACTCCCAGGTAAACCGAACGCGCCGTCCCAATTTCGTACACCGAGCTAATGGCATGATGCGATCAGCACGACGCCCTTCTGAAGACGTGCGATCTGGCGCTCGCCGAGCGCCCAACATCCCCAACGAGTTCTGCTTCCTCCTCCGCCGAAGAAGCTGGCCCCTGCGTGCTCGTGTTTTACACGCATCATCGACCCCACCTGGCGGATCGCGACATGCAGTTCTTCGAAAAGGCGCGCGAACGACGTTGGCGATGTGAAGAGATATTGACAGAACGCTTTCCGGTCGGTCACATCGCACCCTTCTTCGCTATCGCACGAGGCTCATCCGATTGCTAGCCCATGTTCCCCGACGATCCAGGGGAGGAAGAGGTCCGGAGCACTGTCCACGGGTGGCGCTTGACGAGGATGCAGTAGTTAGTGCTTTGTGTTCCTACGTATCCCATCGTCCCTGTAGCTGAAATGTAGAGCAGGGTCCGAGGCTCCGGTCACCTTTTGTGGCGCCGCCTCGCCTGGAAAATGACGTGAGCCGTGCTTCCGAGTTCCCGAGCGCCTTCCTTCGAGTTCCTTCGTCGCTGGGGCAGCGTTAGCCGCGAAGAAGCCGGGGTTGACAAATTGTTGCGGGCCAATCAGGAGTCGGCAACCCTTCGCTTAGGGGCTTCCTTCCACCCGAGCGCGTACTGCTCGGCGCTGGCGACGGGGATATATAACGCGTTTCCTGGTGCCCAACGGCCTTTTTTTCTCCTTTCCTCAACGCACCTGCGTCTGCTCTACTCTGTTCAAGTGTCCACCGGACCTTCCCTCCAATCGCCATCTCCCGCCCCCCACGTTCATTTCACCCCCACGTTCTTTGAAAATCCAATCATGAAGGGCTTGTTCTCCATCGTGTCTGCTGCGCTGTTCGCTACGGCCGTCATCGCCGTCGCGCCGCCCGCAGAGCTCGGTCCGCTCGACGGCCTCGTCGACGGCGCGCTCGGCGAAATCACGAACATCCTCGACGTTCGGGATGATCTGCACTTCAACCCGGTCGATATCGAGCTGAAGACCCTGGCCACCGGCGAGATATCGCCGCGTTACATGACCAACGCCAAGCGTATGGCTCGCGGCCTCAACCCGAAAGCGCCCGTGAACCTGCGCGACCTTCGTCAGTCCCTGCCTTCCGCAATGTCGCGGTACTCCTCTCTAACCACACGGCCCTACTTCAGCGACTTCCACCGTGTCCGCCACCCTGCCCAAGCGCTCTACCGCGCCAAACCTCAACTCGTGAGTTGAGAACAGCGTTGACACGCAGGATAGCGCACTAACAAGCGATCGCGCAGCCGTTCTTACACTGGCACCGTGTCGGTCGTTTCCAACGACAACTCGTCGGTCATCGGCTACGTCTCTGCGTCGCCGAACAAATACGGCCAGTACGGCCTCTGCACCGACGTCGACGCCGCTCTGAAGGTGTCCTTCACCGTCTCGGACGATTCGTCGCCGTTCGATATCACCGCGTCGAACGGGATCAGCGACTTCCCCTTCTTTGGCGCCATCGTCGGCCACGCTAGCAAGGCCGTCGACCTCGTCTCCGGCGCGCTCAACTACGTCGCGCTCGGTGGCGTTGAGCAGTGTACGTGCCGCTACATGATTCTCGCTCGAAGACGGTGTTCACAAAACGGCATTCCGCAGGCGGCCTCGGCGCGATCCCCTCGATCATCTCCAACGCGTTCTCGTTTATCACCGGCATCTCCGTCGCCGTCGAGAGCGCGATCTGGTCCATCAGCGACGACCTCGAGCTCAGCCTCGGCTGGGTAAACAGCGACGGCTCCAAGCCCGAGTCGACCGACCTCGTCTACGTCTCCACCGAGGATGCGCTCGTCCTCACCGGCGACCTGCCCGTGTTCCGCAACTCCTTCGGCTTCTCCGCGGACGTGTCCGTCTCTTGCGTACGTTGGCTTCGTTGGCGTCCGCTTGCCTATTGTAGCTGACATGGATATCTCTTCCAGTCTCTCAAGCTCGTCGTCTCCTGAGGAGAGAGTCAGAAAAACCCCTTCGGATTGTGTGTGCTCCACTCGTCGGACGTTCATATCGTACACTACCCATAGATCCCCTAATGTACGAGTGCGAGCCAATAGACTGTCTGACCATGCCGCAACGACGGAGAATCCCACAATCATCGAGCACGATCATTCGAAAACGACCAGAACATCGCCGGCGTTGACTGACGTGCCCTCCCGGATGCCCCTGCCAAACGCCTTCACCCTCCTGCCTACGTTCTCTTCGCCTGCTTCGACATTGATCTCCGTCTTCATGGCCTCCAAGATGACCAACACGTCCTCTGCGGACTGCACCACATCGCCGACCTCGCAGCGTATTTTCCAAATCGACGCCGACATGGAAGAGGTCACCGAAGCGCCCCCTTCTGCGTCGCCTACGTTCAAGATAAGCAAGACGATCATTATACACGCTCGTTGACGCAGGTTGCAATGTCCACTTACCCGCTGTAGTGTCCACGGCATTGGGTCCATTGTCCTGCGCAATCTTAGCCTTCTCGGCCTCCCACTGCGCCAGTAGCTCGGCCTCTCTGTAGCAACAAGCACTCAGCATCGATGCGAATGCGAGGCGGGAGCAGCATAATTACATTGCCTCCTGTTTCGCCACAGCGGCACTCTGCTTGTGCTTGTATACAGCGACCTCGTCTGCGATGGAGTCCACAAATGCCGTATACCGCGCCATGGAGAACGTCGCCTCTTCAATCTGGATATCATAAGCACACGGGTAGGCGCTCGATCCGGGCGGAGGGTCTACCTTTATCTTGTATCGGCCGGCGTCGAAGTCCCTCAGGATCTACGGATGAATATGTGTTGAACGACTAATCCCATCCCCCCCCCCCGGGATACTCACGTCCAGGTATTCTGTCTCTGAGACTGGTTCGAATCGTACCTTCACCTTGTCGGTCAACAAGGCCGCATACTTCTTTGGGAAGGAAAACTCACTTGGTCGAACGCGTTCAGTAGCCAAGGCCTGTCGGGTTGGAAATCTGGTCCTTTGCCCCATGTCTGCCAAGCCGGTAGAGTCCGACCGTACAGCTGATAACCTTGGCAGTAAACGCGTCGGCAAGCACATCAAATATGGTAGCTTCCGCAGACACTTACCGCCCGGAGACTCGACGGGATATATGGCTGCTACCAAACCAGCGATGCCGATGGCCCCCTAACGGCAATCCCGTCAGCCCGGCACCCCTAGACAATGTTCATGAAAGACAACCCACCCGGGGAGTATACGTCCGCGACGGGTTCATCTTCTGCGCGACGAGCCGGCATCTGGGGTCTATCTGCTAGGAGCTCAGCCAGGGCCCTTGGACGGGCTTTCCATCGCGGCTCACGGGTATGAGGAACGGACAAGCTAGATAGAACCCGACGCCAAACACGAGCTGAACTCTAATGAGCACTCAATTCAGAGACGCCGCATGCTAAACGTACGAAGTCTGATTGCACGAGGAGCTTCAAAGCCTCGGCCTCTCCTCCATCCAGTCCATTGTTCTTGGCGAGATATTCTACGTTGCTGGGCAAGTACACCGCTTTGTCCCGTATGCTCCGCATGTAGCGTTCCAGAGCCTCCCTATTCCATCGATCGTCCAGCACAATGGGAAGGGTAATCCTTCGCCCAGGGAACTCCATAGATTCCAAGGTGTTAGGCAAAGATTTCTCAACCTCGACCAGTATAGAGAGGACATTGTCCTGCGAAATTTCCAGGGGATCGTAGTGTACCTAGAGATCCAAGTGTGTGTAAGGGCCCATGTATGGACAATGCGGTATGTTGCATGAATCACCATAGTTGATCGTATGCATGGCGCAAAACCACGGATGCCGTTGACTTGGCGACGAAGCACTCCACCCTCCAGAGCGTGAACGCGAACACGCATGGCGAAGTCAAGAAGCATCGGCCCATATTCCACCAGAACGGCCGAGTCGCCGGCCTGCATATGGCGTGGTGAGCTACGAAACGTGGCCTCTGGAGAAGCACGGACCTGCCGGAAAACCACCCTTGGTCGCGGATTCGACAGTGACGGTTCCAGAATCAGCAGCTTGGGATGCGAGGATACTTCAGATTCTGGTTCGTCTGCGCCACGAACGGGCCACGTCGATTGTCCGGTTCGTACGTGGTCTTGCACTGCTGATATCCAATCGTGTTGGAGCCGAGTGAGCCCCGAGGCCTTTTCGAATGATATGCGCCGGAAGCGAATGGTGCACCCCAGGCGCAGTTGCCCTAGCTTCCACCTGCGAGCAATCACTACCGAAAGCACCTTGACCAAGTTTGTAATACACACCTTTCTGAGGTGGCGACAGTGCAGAAACATACGTAACCGCCCATGTCCGGACCTTCGTTAGTCAATATGACGGGCGTGTCGCCGTTGACGTTGATGGAGCCGAGGGCGTAGCCATTATCATGGATATTGCTGGGATGCGAACCGCCTTCTCCACCATTCGGACGAGCCCACTGAAGCTTGGGTCCCTCTAGCCGAATCCCTGGAAAACCAAATGAGCGGCACGAAACGAGTATCTCTGTATGACTGACCCATGCGATTGCTAGATGCGCTGACTTTCCAGTTCGTCGAGTAGAACGCTTCAACACCCGCGGGCGTGACGAAATCCTCATCACCGTGTGGGCCGGCAAGACATAGTATCTCCCATGCATCCGGGTAATCAGGAATCAATGATGATGGTATCGGCGCGGCCCCTAGCTCGTCGTCTTTTGGTGCGCAATCGCCCAGCTCGATATGATCACCGGCAGTCAATGAGCGTCCCTACAGCAGATGAAATAGATCAGTCACGTTTAACGATCTGTGCACTACGCGACTCACCTGATACCCTCCTAATCCCATGGATGTGGACTTCGATTCCAGATACTTCGGTATCCCCGGGAACCCGCCCCTCACTCCAACGTAAACTCTCATCCCTTTCTCCTTCAAGGTCCCGACGACCAGCCTGCCGCCCGCCGGTACCACCACCTTCGTCCATATCTTCTCCGGCTCCCCGTTGATAGTCAGCGATACCGGAGGACCGCAAACCGCGACGACGGTTGATGCGTGGAAGTACAGTTTGCAACCGGTGAGAGTAACTTCGAGAGCTTCGGCGTTGACGTCGTTCGAAACGAGCGCGTTCGCCGCCATGAATGCCATGGGGTCCATAGGCCCGCTACGAGGCATACCGAGCCCGGTCAGGCGCCCAGGCAGATCTTGAACGGTGGTCTCAACCCCGCCCGCAATGACGTCCATTGCTCTGGCAAAGGCAAAAGCATGAGATTCGAACGATGCAACCGCGGTTGCGACTCCTTACCTGGGCGTGAACTTGAAGTGCTCCAAAAATGTGGTCATGGCGTTCCCGTGCTGGAAAGTCTTCGAGCTACATACAGCGTCGAGGTACGAGACGTTGTTCGGCGAACCGAGAATCTTTGTTTCCGATAGAGCCTGCTTCAGACGCGAGACAGCCTCAGATCGTGAAGTACCGGTAACGATCAGCTTGCATGCCAGCGGATCGTAAAAGGGTGTAACCGTAGTGCCGGTGCCAACCTAGCACGCGGGTCGGTTACGGCAAAAGACGGGTCTGGACAAAGCTTACTTACCCAGTTTTCGAGCCTGAGCCAGTCTTCTTTCGGGAATTCTACGAGTTGGAGCACCCCAGGCGATGGCTTGAAGTTGGCTGCAGGGTTCTCGCAGTACACCCGCGCTTCGATGGCGTGAAGTTGTGCGGTGTTCGATCCATAGCGTGACTGGTCCATGAGATCGGGCGCTAGGTGGACGCCAGCGCGTTCCGCGATGCCTTGCTTAATCATGAGCTCTACGAGGTCAAGACCGGGATGAACGGCCTCTGTGATCGGGTGTTCGACTTGCAGGCGGGTATTCATCTCCAGGAAGAAGAACTCGGCAGTCGAATCGTCCACGATAAACTCGACTGTCCCTGTAAAGGTTGGTTTGCCACGGTGAGATGCAGTCTTGACAGGGTTATACATACCCGCAGATCCGTACTTGATTAACTGACATAGCTTCACCGCTGCATCATACATCTTCTGTCGTACGTCTGACATGACGGTTAGTTGAAGAATACTCCAATGGGGAAAACATGGGCACCTGGATGTTTGTCCATGAACGAACTTGGTGACTCTTCAAGGACTTTTTGATGCCTTCGTTGGACGCTGCACTCGCGTTCGCCCATGTGTATCGCGTGTCCGTGGCCATCGCCGAAGACCTTGGTATATTGTCAGTTCACTTCGTAAGGTAATCGAAGAGGAATCTCGGTACCTGTACTTCGATGTGTCGAGCGGACGGTATGTAACGTTCGAGAAAGAGGCCGTCGTTCTTGAACAGGGACTGTGGCGTACGCGATCAATCCCGGTCAACCCTGTAGTGCACGCATAATGGCACCAGCTCACTTTGGCCCGACCTTTCGTAGCCTCGAACTTGTCCTCCAGCTGTTTCGCGTCATTGCAGACGACCAGTCCCATGCCACCTCCCCCTGCGGTACTCTTCAACATAACCGGCCACCCGATCAAATCCGCCGCCTTGACCGCATCGCGTACGTACGTGACCAGCCCCTCAGTTCCAGGTACGACAGGTACCCCTGCCTCCTTCGCCATCGTCCGCGCCTCGTGCTTCAACCCCATCTTGTGTATCACTTCCGCGCTCGGCCCCAGGAACGTGATGCCATGCTCATCAAGTTTTCTCGCGAGTTCTGCGTTTTCGGAGAGGAATCCGTAACCGGGATGCACGAGCGTCGCGCCAGACTTTACGGCAGCAAGCACGACCTCGTCGACATCCAGGTACGAGAGGCTTTCGCGAAGAGGGACAGATTGGTCCGCGACCGAGGCGTGGGGTGCGGTCGCATCTGCGGGAGAGTAGATCGAGATAGTGTGAAGGCCAAGTTTTCGTGCGGTGCGGAGGATGCGGAGGGCGATCTCGCCACGGTTTGCGATGAGCAGCTTCTGGTCGTCGAACCTCATAGCTCCTTCCAATGCTGCGGACAAGGCTACAATGAAGGCGTCCCGGTGAGATGCTTAGAGCCTTATCAACGTTGGACCGTAGTGTGTGCGCATGACGAGCGAACTATTCCGCACACGGCCGCTTCCTTATTATGGTGCCGTGAGTGAACCGAGTATTTTGGTCCCCAAGGTCAAGTGGCGCATCTCAGTCATATAGCGTCTACACTCGTGTACCACAGCATAGCAGAGAGCCGGTGTGTATGACGAGCGTTCCGGATTTTCGCAGTGCAGGTCATGATGCATGATGGTCGAAGTAGAACCCGCGACCTGCCTTTGTCGCCGCCGACCACTAAGCCTGTCCGGTGCGTCGCTTTACCTGAAAACCAGGCTCCTTAACCAGCCGCTCGTATCGCGTCGAACTCCCAAATCCTAGGGCGGTAGTCAATGTTGTAACAGAGTAATAGATCATGTGAACTCAGGGGTAAACAATCATGTGATCTTTCCTTTTATATCCTGGGCTTGGGGGAGTACGACGCGATAGAGCGGCTGGCGGATCATGTATTTCAAATTCTCGGCTTCGCTCGGCATACCCGCTCAAGAAACACGCCTATTCCGAAAGCGTGATCCGGCATAATACAAAGCACCGCCACAAGGACCCCGAGGCCCACCGTAGCCTAATTGCAAGAAGTTTCGACAGTTCAGGCCGGTCCAATGCATATTACAGTACAAATCACTCCCTTAGCAGAGTAAGCACCCTAAGTACGAGAGCAAGCGGCCTGAGCAAAAGTGAGGAGGGAAGCAGGAGGAAACAATTGTTAAAAAGGGACGCAATGGTCGGACTCGAACGCGCGAGGCGGACTGCCACCAAAACCAATAGTAACAGACACTTAACCGGTGAGCTAACACAACACCGATATCATGCGGAGCGTAATTGTACATGACCTTGTTTATAGGTATAGCACTGGACAAATGTACAACAAAAAGCAACCGCCGGGGATCGAACCTGTGCATTCCTGCAAAAACAACAGCTCAAACACGACGCAA